GAGACAGCGGGTGATGGACTGACCCCAACCCCCATTCCCTGTCCCCCTGTGCCGCTGAGAGGAAGAGGGAGAGAAAATCAGGAGGGAAGTTGGGCCCAGGAAGAAGGTAGGGGTGGGGGGGAGGTGTTTTAAGATTTGGTTTTGTTTGTCATTATCCTACTCTGATTTGCTTGGTAATAAATTAAACTAATTTCCCCCAGTCGAGTCTGTTTTGCCCATGGCAGTAGTTACAGAGTGATCCCTCTCTGTCCTTATCTCGACCCAGGAACCTTTCATTACATTTTCTCTCCCCTGCCCAGCTGAGGAGGGCAGTGATGGAGCTGCTTTGGTGGGCACCAATGGGTGACAAACGAGATAAGCTCGGTGTTGCCAAATGATTTCAAATAATTCTTTGTTCTGATCTAAGGAGGAACAGGCTTCAATTCCTGGAGAGAGGATGGTAAAAAGTAGAGAAAAATTGATGCCCCAAGGATCAGCACGAGCAATTTTCCTAAATAAGTGATGTCTCACCTATAAACTGGTGTTTAACAACAAAATAAATAAAATGCAATAACAAATAGATGCCCAGATAGGATCTGCTGTAGCCCAGGGGGAAGGCAGTGGGTAGTGGATAGAAGTAAGAGACGCCAAGAACCACCTTTGGCTTCACCATGCAAGTCTGCCATGACTCCCCAGTACTGACTCCAAAGTCCCCCCTGGGTCAGCAGGGCAAAGCCATGGAGCTCACTCACTGTGAAACATCTCATCCAGGACTTCTCTGGCCCTGGGAGCAGTGCAGGGAAGTCAGGGACCAGGAGATCCCAGGGGACATGCAGGGGCTCCTTCAGTCCCTTTTGAAGGCTGACGGGGTGCACAACCCATAGGAACCCATAAATTATGAGAGAGGCCACCAAAACTGATGGGAGGGCAAGGAAAAATGGCAAGCTTTGAGGGGTGGGAGGAAGAAATATTTCATGTTGCTCTTATTTGCCTTTTGATTTTTTTTACACCAACAATGTTGAGGCTCACCAAGGAATGAGGAGACCTCTGCGCAGGCGCTCCCCAGACCACCCCTCACCCCTGCCAGCTAACCCGGGCGAGCTCCCTGAAGGCTGGGTTCTCCCTGCGTGCCCTGCAAAGCCTCATCGTAATGGGAGCCACATGGCCCAGCCCCAGTAAACCCATTTTTCCCTTAAATTGGAACCAGACGAGGCAGCTCCAGCCACCGACTCCCTGGCTCCCTGTGCCTGGATCAGGGAACAAACACGGAAGCGTATGGCCCCAGCATGCCACGGCAGCCCCCACCCACCCACTCACCCGTCCCACAGGGTGGAGGGACTCAGCAGAACCAGGAGAAAAACCTGGAGTGATGCAGCGAGGATAAATGAGTAGATGTCGGTGAGAATTACCCAGCCTGAAATGCAAAAGCAAACCTTCCCATGAGAATAACAGCCCCGTATTTTGCTCAGACAGCAACCGAGCCCAGCACCCCCCTGCTCAGCACATGGCCGGGGAGGAGTCCCCAGGCACCAGCGCCCAGTTCCAGCATCCTCCCGGGGTCACCGGCTGATGCTGTGCTCCAACCGGCAGCGCCTGGCTCCTCTATGTGATGAAGATGTTTGGAGCCAGGAGCTTTTCCTCTGGGTCTGTCTCCTCCCCAGATCCGCACCCCTTGCACTGTGCAAAAACCATCGCTCCCTCCAGGTTGAGGGAGCAGGATCCGTGCCACAGCCCCGCAGGGATCCATCTCCCGGAGCTGCTGACTGTGGCAGGAACAACTTCACAGCAATAAAACACCTCGCAGGGCCAAAACTCGCTCTCCAGAGACAACTCCCGCGATGCGAGAGACATCGCTCCCCCGCCTGCCCCTCACCCGCCAGCCTGCAGGAGAAGAGAGATGTTCTCAGCCAGGTTTTGCCCTAAGTGGATTCCAGAGGATCGGCAGCGATCGGTGGAGTTTATACCAAGGAGGGACCACGGCAGCCCGCGGCACAGGGCAGCCGGCCAGCAGCTCAGTTCCAGCTGCTGCCTGGCCAGCTCAGCGCATGTAATAACAGCTCCTGCCTGACCAGGCATCACGCTGCTGTTGCACTGCAATATTCATGAAGGTGCAGCGTTCCCGCTGCTCAGGGGAGGTGAAACGGGACCTGATGTGGGATGGCAGAGAGGTTCCTTTCTCTTGCTTGTTCGCAAGTCTCCAGAGGTTGCTCCTGACCGCTCCTGCGTGCAGGGGGAGCTGGGGATACAAAACCCACGGCAAGCAGCAACGGATGCTGGGCAACCCTTTGCTCCTCTCCAGCATCCTTCATCCTCGGATTGCATCTGCCCAGCATAAAACCCTAAATAACCCCACAGCTAGCACCAGGCATGAGGGAATCCCCCTTGATCGCAGCAAGCAAAGCCTCAGCCCACCAAGTTTCCCCAAAATTTATTGATAAAGACTTGCAAAATATCGCCAGGTGTTCCTGGTGCAGAGCAGGGGTGTTTGGGACAAGGCTGTTCCCAAAAAAGCCCCCCCATATCACTTCACTCCTGAGGCACTGACGTAAACCTCCTCCCAGCCAGGCTGCCCCAGCTGCAGCCCTGATGGTATTAGGTCAGGCTCATGCAATAAATCTTGGGAACAGTCGGTGTTTATTTGGATTTACTGCTGCTTAGATCGTTAATGCTCCACGTGCACCGAGCCCCA